GCAGACGTTTAATACCTGAGAGTGACCACAATTATATTACATATCCAACTCCTATACGTTTGGGATTGTACAACATTCCCTGTAACCACGCATGTTTGTAGATATGTAAATGTTGTATGTTTGGGAATGCACCTATAGCAGCGACACCTGTGCTGCAGGTTAAAGTGAACCAATTAGAATTGCCTGAGGAAGGTGACAGACGGTCACCGAAACGTCAGCTGAATAAAAGACAGTGACTTACCAACCTGATGAAACTTTTCGCGGATGCGACTGTATGGCTTTAACAAATCGACAAAATCCCTTCATGCGCAAAATTACATTTCCAGAGAAATCAAGGAAGATTACCAATTTGAAATTCGATTTCCGCCGTTGGGAAATATAAGGTCTAGTTGTCATAAGTGATGATACATTTGTTCATTGCCATGATCTGTCATTTGCTTCATTATTCTCCATGAAGGCGCCCAAATGGCAAGTCACTGATTTACGCAAACTGGCTGCAAATTGAAAGTAACGTCATGTACTGAACATATAATGAAATCGGCAATATTATCCATTGCCAACAATCCAAATATTTTCTCCTACGTCACCAATTTCTCACAACCTTAGCACGTATACATGGAGCATTGTTTAGAACAATGCTCTAATGGTGGGTTTCACCAATAGCGATGAAAACGCCATCTATGTCTGGTAATGGTTTAGCTGGCATTTGGTGTCTTAGGTATCAGTCTCACCTGGCTATTCTTTAGGTAATCATTCCCATGCCCACCTACCAGACGTACCTGGAAAATAATCGAGTAATGGCTTAAAATCATACCCGGAGTTACATGTAGTTATGCAGGGCTCTCACGCACACACACACACACACACACACACACACACACACACACACACACACACACACACACACACACACACACACACACACACACACACACAACACGCACACGCGCACACACACACGTACACGCACACACACAATGAGAATTACCAATAATGGTTATTGCACACAGAAAATGTATACTTACGCAGCTCATCCCATTAAGCCTTAACGGGATAAGATGCGCCAGTATGTATTTCCTGTGCGTAATAACCACTATTGGTAATTCTCACTTTTTTTCTGGGGTGAGCCCTGCATAACTATTACTAGTATTACCAGATTTACCTGACATTAATCATCATTGGCTTATCCCACTTTTCCTGCAGTGTGAATATCAACATTACGTCAAACTCACTATTGCCGCGTAGATGACTATAGATATAAGGTATTGCTGTGACTCATATAAATGTACTTTGGGTGTACCTCGGACACCCATAAGCACAAAGAGTCCAAAAGGCGAAGAATGGTGCGTATATTGGATAGATCGCGACGTCGCTATCCAAAATACTAATAAAGCTTAGTGCAGGGAAGTGTTTCAATAAGTGGCTCGCTGTTCCCACGACACCTGCTATGGAGGTGAACATTGTTCCTTCCCGAGGCCACAGCAAGTACATCATATCAAAGACAAGAGTTGCAAAACACCAATATACAAAATAGAGACCATAAACGTTGTTAGATGACCTGAAGCACGAAAACATCCAGCAAGTCATCTTTTCCCTCTATTCAAGAAGTGCGGAAGTGCGTAAAGAAGCACTATTGCACTACTACAACTACAACTACACATACGGCTACCACAGTGGTGTCACTTCTACACCAGCACTCATGGCTACCTCACTGGTGTTACCTCACAAGTATACTCAAGGATACATATCTACCCATCACCGGAGAGGAATGAGATTTTTTCGAAATAAGTCGAAAATTGATGTGCTGTTTTAATTTACGATTCCATTCCAACACCCAAAATATTCTGGATAACAAAATTGTACTGCCATTGTATTTTCAGGCACCACTGTTACGACATTTGCGGCACTACTTGAAAGTTCCATAGTTTTCAAAGACAGCCCGGACATATGTTTATAGGTCGTACTTTTAAATACACGTTAGTCGGGTGTGAAAATATATCTGAGCTTTTCTAAACATTCATGCAATTCAATGACGTCGCATATCCACTACTCCAATAATCGTTATGCGATGCGATAACGGGTTAGTCAAATTTACTTCGGGTAAAAAAAACAAGCGGCAAGTAATCGACTTCAGACACGCCGTATTCTACAGCGGTTACCGATAAAAGCTCTGTTCCGTTCCTCCAACCATCGTGTACGTATGTGCGAATGAAGTTCAACAATATGATGTCTGCGAACACCCACTTGGTCCTTAATTAAATGGAGACATGATAACTCATGGCAGGATTTTAATATGGGTCTGCCTTGCCACTATCGTGACAGTACGTGATACAACTTACAGAATAGTCCTGTAGCGTACATGGTGACACCACTTAAAGACAATCACCATTGCCTTTAGACCACACCAATTTAATTTGTTGCTTCTCGGATTTTTTCAGAAAAAATATGGAGCGACAGGGCGAAATAAATAAAAAACAGGCCAAGGCACCCCATGATAGCCGGACCGGAAATGTTCCGCTATGAGCCACGAAGTGAACATACACGGATGTCTTTAATTGAGCATTTTGTAGTTTGCAGGCAAATCAGAAAAAAATGGACACAGCGAATCCTAGAAACAACAATTAAATTGATTTGGCTTTACGGAAAAAATTAAGCCCAAAGTATCAACGGTTGCAGTGAGAATATCTTTAAAATCTGTATACTGATAATACAGGGAGCTGGTTTTTATGTACATCAAGTGCCATCTCAATTAAAAAATGTACCTTGAACTTTTTCCCAGTGATGTCAAATGTTTTGATAGCCATTGTTTAAAAATCTGTATTACATATAGCATAAATAATATGTATATTCATTGTGTTTACCCATATATGATTATCTTTTAATGAGAGACTCATATTCTATCTCAATAACTACGAATTTTAGTCACTGTCAAAATGCGTACTACGCATAACATAATAATACGTTCATTATGTTTACCCGTATATGATAGATGTTTATAGTTACAAGTAAGAATTTGAATAATGTCATTGAATCAACTTGAACCGAATGTAGTCTCAGTAGGGTGTTTGCACTTTGAATCTAGGAATTTGTCATGGAGAAAAATGAAGAAATCATCACAACTTTGGGATCCATTTCACCCGGACGACTTTACCAAAAACGCCTTCCTGACATGGAAAGTGCCCACGGGAACAAATACAGAAAAGGCAATATGCATCATGACTTTGCAGTATTTACAGACCTTGTACTAAGCTTTGATTTGGATCTTCATAATCAGTAGACGTAACGGTGTCGTGAACATTATGTATACAATGAAAGTTTTGTTTATGTTAAATTGTGTTTTTCTACAAGAATGTAAATGTTCTCGCTGTATTGCCAAACCAAATACTTTTAGACGATAGAGACGATCTCGATATGTGGTGCAGAACCAGGCGGGATGTAACCGTGAACGCTTTGGTCGGTCATGGAAACATTTCAAGGACGCTGCCGTGAGCGATGTGTGTTCATTATCCTACCGTCACGATGACTTTAACATCATCCATCAGTGTCTACATTCTTAATCCTTGTTGCCAGAACCAAAGTCTACTTGTTGAAAAGCGTTGTACGGGGATTTCTTTATCCCATCTGGGCACAGTGGTGCGTCTTCAGACTACATAGTAATACTGATAATAACCACGCATTGAAGTAAACGGTGGTCGTGGTGTAAAATACCGGATTCTACGCCTATCTGTTTATAGCTGTAACAGTTGGTATGATTATTGCACTGCTACGCCAAGACTGTCCGTTCAGCCACCCACTTTAAGGTTACTCTGTGACTATGCAGTCTCTCTCTCTCAAGTTTTCTTAGAACAGTCTTTTCCATCACACTTGAGGTCTAACCGATGCGAGTCTGAAATCTTCGATTTCTTCTTCCAATGTGCCACCGCCACCTCACACTACCAATCAATTACATCATGTTTCGGAATGCATCCCTGTGTTTCCCAGGAGCTAGTCCGCCCTGTGCCGCTGCGTGTTTTGAGAAATGACCCACGTTTTGAAATGTAACATTCACGCATTCTTCCACGGTGGCCGTCCAATCTACGACTGAAGCGTTTAGAGTAACGTTCTCATTACACCCCCCCCCCGGCCTGAATCAGCAATCATCATTTACTGCCAATCCCCGCAATTGCCACGTGGTCTCTGTCCGCAGTAGTCTGTGACAAAGATCGACCAATCCTCCCTCCATTTGAACTGAACTGCAGGTCATGTCCAGCGCCCTGCATGGCTCATGTGTAGTCACGCGGCAAGCTGAAAAAAGATGGGACAATCTCAGAGTTATATACATGAACAACTTCTCTCCTATCATTAATACATAGAGCAACTCAAAAGCAGTTTTTTTACTACCTGCGTACTCTGTGATTTAAGACTACCACAATGGATGCAACAGGAAAGAACCAATCGTTAAGAAGGTATCAGACTGATGCCAGAAGCAGTGATTACGGTGATTGAAACAGCGGTCTGCGTCAAGGCAATGTTACTGAGCGACTCGTCTGTCATTTTGACATTCTTAATGATCCATAAATGCCTATTACCGAGGTACAACAGGTCTGTAGAAACCACCGCTGGGAAATGTGGTGGAATTCAATTCCAGGTAATTCTACCCCATCACATCTCTATAAGCTGCCGGCGTGACAGTTTCGGAATTTTCATGAGAAAGGACCGGGTGTCCGTCTTGCTATTGTGAGATTATATGAAATTTGGTCTGCTCGACCGTTAGTTAAGTTGGTGTAACAGAGGGATCGTCTGATTGTATAAATGCAATACGGAGTAGAAATCTTTCGCATTTCATCCATCTTATGTAACAGATCAGCTCGTCCTTTTTATTCGGTGTTTGTCCCGCACTTTTCTAACCGAAAAATTCGAACATAGGTCCTCTTTGTGAAAAGTGGATCTTTGGTCGTCTGGACAACAAACATTGGTGTTAATATTGGGAGGAAATAACACAATAGATAGCCCTACCGTCTTCATAAGTCATCGTTGCATTCCTCATACAGAAACTGAGCCAGCTCACAGATCGTAGTGACGAACTCTGGAAGAAAGTTCGTATCATTAATTTATTATTATCACGATAAGGCCACACTGACCTGATTATTACATGCTGTTTATGTTTATTGGTTTATTTTGTACGGCCTAACTTTTTTCACAAGTTTTGAGCTGCCAGATATCATCCATATAATCAACTCAGTACGACCCAACACCCCCTGTCTTTTATCATAAAACACCGACTGTCTAAAAGACAACGTAGACATCTTAAAAGCGACTTTGTGAATGTGAGACAGTTAGAGATGTTACCTTCATAGTCGATCTTGCCATTGCCGTCGAGGTCAATTTCACACATCATTTCATCAACTACGGGGAATGGACAGATCCAACAATGATTTAGAACTGCATACAGTATAACGTCTTATGTATTTTTGTCAATTTGATATCAATTGCAACAGACGTTAGAAGTTGTCATAATGTTTCTGTGGTTTATGTATCAATTATTATTAGACTATCATATTACATTCAGATGACGTTCATATCCATCGGGGACCATTCACCATATTCACCAATTAGTGCGATGTTCCCATTGGTTTCATTTCTAAGAAACTTTTTTGATATAGACAGACATCTTTATCAGTAAGTTCAGAAATAAATTCATTTTTTAGTAATGATAGAAAACAGACGCAATCCTGTAATAATCAGAACATCATTAATCAGTCTTGACTCCCACTTTCGAAATAGTACGGTCCTCTGAGGCATGATCCCCATATTGTTTTGATTGTTTAGGTCAATGTTGCAGCCCAAAACGTGGAGACAGGGGACGTGGAGAGGGGGAGTTTAATAGATAGATAGATACATTTACAGACAGACATACAGTGATAGTGACTAATTTCTACGTACCTTCTTCGTCCGTGAGATCTTGACCAAAACAGCTAAGTATCTGTCTGAGATCAGAAGCATCAATGAAACCATCCCCCGCCTTGTCAAACAAGCTGAATGCTTCTCGCAAGTCTTTCTCATCGTCCTCCGCTAGAACTTCGTCGTCTTCGTCGTTTTCCTCTTTGATTATGGACGACAAAATGACCACGAAATCCTCGAAATCTATCGTGAGGTTTCCTGTAGAAAAAGGAAAAATCAAAATTTGGAACTTACATTATTTATTCCCATGGTGGCTGAGCTGTGGATGTTTGCATGTGTTTGAGTACATGTTCAATTCACCTGCGGATATCAGATAAATGTCTGAACGGCTTGTGCTAGAACCAACAAACTCGGTAACTTTTTAGAGAATATAACATCTGGTAACAATGTCATATAAGTGAGTTATTTAACTTTCGTGGCAGCGGGTTTCTGACTTTATTAAACAACTAGAGTTGAGTTCCAAGACCTCATGCCTTTGCCAAATGACATTAACCTTTTCGACTGTTCAGTCGATCAGATTCTGTACCCAATACTAGCATTTCAGAGAAATTTGGTAAGTAGTTTTAACAAAAGAATTTACATGACATAATACTGTGGTATGAGGATTTCCTTGGTATTATACATTAGATTGCTTCTTCTGAACAGCCATCAACCAGAAAATGAATCAGATTTCTGGCAGGAATTCCCGCATCCCACATTCCCCAGTCACAGGGAAGTCTGTACATTTTTGGCTGACAAGGAGAATCCAAGCCAGTTTGGTTACCATGGCAAGGTTATTTGATACCATAATCCCGAGAGTGCTGAGGTGGGCAGCTGTCTGGTCAGTAGAACTGTGGTGCCCTGGCCAGAAGGTCATTAACCTAGATAAAAGATATAATTCTAACACAAAAGGGCCCATTGTACTTCCCCACAAGCTACTAGGGAGTGCAAACTTACACCACTTCATCTAGGCCCCAAAACCTATCCATTATACACCAATTACTCTTCCCGAACTTCAATTGCTAACACACAAACACAAAAGGTCAACTGCAGTGACGCAAGGACCCCCAAGGGGCCTATTTTCGAATTTGACCTTGGTCTTTACAACAGTAAATTGCGTACCAAAAATCATTAACACCCGTTTACATGATAACCGAAATGGCTGGGGCTGACCTTGCGTTAACCTGCTAACAAGCTACAAACACATTAAGTCCACTGCAGTGATGTTGGGACCCCCACGAAGCCCATTTTTGCACTTGACCTTGGTCTTCCCAACGGTAACCTTTCTGCCAAAAGTTATGCCTTCACGAGTTATGCCGCTAAATCCACATTCTCCCACAGTCCACAGTCTGTTTCTTCTTTCGAAGGCAATAAAGTTTTCAGGTTTTCATGTTAAAGTGCCTTTCCCCTGTACACAGTAGGACGCAGAACCTCCAGAGTCAACAAATCTACCCACGAGACCGCCTTCCACCTATAATTGTCTTCGTCAGAAAGACTATGAAATTGTCTCGCCGCATTGTGGGTGACTGTGGATTTATCGGAATAGCTATTGAAGGCATTGTTCGACGTCCATGATTTTTGGCAGGCAGATTACCGTTGTTAAGGCCAATGCGAAGTGCAAGTTTGGGCTTCGTGTGAGGTCTGTACGTCACTGCAGTGGACTTTTTTGTGTTTGTGGCTTGTGAGCAAAATAACTCGAGTATATTTAAACTAATGTTCATGATTTTTGGTAGGCAAGCTACCATTGTAGAGGCCAGGGTCAAGTTCGAAAACGGGCCTCGTGGGGGGGTCCCTATGTCGCTGCAGTGGACCTTTTGTGTTAGATATATAATAAACTACCCCCACCAACCTCTGCATTTATTCACATGGGGGACAGCTGTCCCTGCATCTGGTATCAATTGCTTACAATAGAGGGGCTGTCCTATAAATACGGTGGGGGGAGGAAAAGTTGGACATGCGTCAGGCAGGTCATTCCCTAAATTGTAAGGCCAGACCAAGTAATTTTTATGGATGACGTCCACTGGAGACCGTATTATTTGACCGAATTTATTGCAAAAGCGAGATAAAATACATGAAGGCCAAAAAAACTTGATTAACATGCATAGATTTGGAACATACTAACTGTGGCAATACAAAGGTTAGGACGCAAATTGAAGAAAAGAACATAGTCTAACAACAAAGGAAAACAGCAATAAATCTCGCCCTGTTCTGATTCTTTCCTTTCATCACATCTTCTCATTAGATTTTGCGACACTGTCGTAGAATAAAAAAGGGGAAAAAGGAGTACAGACATTCTTTTGTACTCCAGACCAAATTGATTTCTAGTATTAAACAAGAATTCTGAGACATCATACCTCCATGAAATATGTGAGTTTTTGTAAATGTTTTTTGTCTGATTGACTATGGAAATAAGGTTCTAATTAGCATAATCTAGTTTAATTTATGGTTTTCTTAATTCAAATTACAATATTTTTCATGTTAATCTCCTCTCCTTTGTCATACTTTATTTCAACACGTCCTCATTAATTATGCAAATAACCTCTACATTAACATGATATAGGCATAGTGATGTTAACCTTTAAGTAACTTACACATGTCACAAGGTATAAAATTCCCATCATTCACCAATAAGGAGCCACAGAATTTTCCCATTAATTATGCAAATTAGGTCATTATTTGCATAATTTGTATCTTATGATGTTCCATCTGCCATAGATTACATTCATTACATGTATGAAAGTACTATTATATAAAACACTGTAATTATAGAATTTTCTCATTAATTATGCAGATTAAGCCCTCATTTGCATAATTTGCAGTTAATTATGTACAACTCTCTCTCAGCTACCTACACACCAAAAATGATGAAAATATGTTGTTCCTATCTGGACTTATTCGCTTTTAAATATTTCGCCCGAAGGTCCCTTGCAGTTCCAGAACAAGCTGCTAGGGGGACAAAACTTACACCACTTATTCCTGACAGGAAGAGCTATCTGTCACTAAAAAGTCAAGACCATAGCATGTTCAGGATAAAAGATTCAAAAACCGGAAGTTCTGCTGCAGTACCAAGGTCGGCCAACAGGAGGCCCATATTTGACCTTGACCTTTGTCTTCCTAAGACCTACCAATGTACCAAATATCATTACAATACATAAAGGCGTTATGAAGTTATGCTGGCTACAAATGTGCGGAAACACAAACACACACACACACACACACACACACACAGACAGACAGACACACACACACACAGACACACACACACACACAGACAGACACGTAAAAAAACAATACCTCATTTTTCATGGAGGTAAAACGTTCCTTTATCTAGAACAATGTCCCTCTGACGAAGGCATGAGATCTCCGACCTCTAGTTAAATGCTGCACGCTGTACAGTGAACGGATAAAAGATATCCAGCATTGATACCCGCTGGATTTCTAGTGACTGTAGTCAGACTCTCTTGACCTAGGTGGTAATGTAGACACATAACTCTGGCGTATGGGGACGCTGAACAGGCTATTTTTTCATTTCATAAACATCGCTGAATAGTATAATGCTTTTCTTTCACTCAATTTGCCTCTTTTTGCTCCATTAAGAAGCATATTACAATGCCTATTCAGCATTACAAAGCGATATCACAAAGACTGCCATGTTGTGTTTCATGGTTTGAAGAATCAGATTTACACACTGTATTACCAATGTACCTCACACGGAAAATCGTTTATCGTTCTAAGGATAATGAATTACCTATTGAAATCTTGATGTAGTTCTCTCTTTTTACAGACCATTCTTTGAGTGAATTGCGCAAGCAAGCTTGAAATTACCAGCATTTGCCACTATAAAAATTATTCTATTTCCTCATTGTTTTAGAAAATTAGGTCTTCGTTTGCATAATTCACATCTATCGGTATCTTTATAATAACATATGTCACATGTCTAATAGACCTATTATGGAAAGCAGTAGATTGATAGAATTCCCTCATGTATTTTGTAAATTAGATCCTGATTTGCAACATTGTCATATAGATATATCAATCATTGAACAAAAGTGAACCATGTCTTAAGCTAGCAACAAACCAAAATCACGACGACCCGTCAACCCCTTTTTGAGTTATCATCTTTGAAAGATTAATATTTTCAAACGACCAACCCTGCAGTTCTAGAACAGCCTGCTAGGGGACCAAAACGTCTGTCACTGCTTTCCGAGCATGAGCGGTATCTACCACCTCAAAATCGGGACGATAGCAAGACAAAAACACGAGACATCAAAATCCGAAGTTCCGCGGCAGTACTATACCAAGCCGCTAGGGTCCACAAAAACTAACTGTAATAATTTCGAGGCCTCATCAGGACTTATATACCAAACAAATATCATTATGATACACCCAGTACTTCCCGACTTACGCTAGTCGCAAACATACAGGCACGGCACCGGAAACATAACCTTCTTGGCGAAGGTAGCAAAACAGCTTCGTGTCTCATCTTTTCCTTTTAAGATATTAAAGTTGCCTTTCGAATGAATGCCTTAGTCTACCCAGGCGTTTGAAAATGGTTGAACAATCTATTTTACATAATCATTATTATATGTGCATTTCATACGATTACAGTTTTACGATTAAGTGGACGTTAAGCCCGAGATGTATGTGTCTGTACCTGCTAAGTTGGCCAGAATAGGACTCAAGCAACAAACAAGAAGAATGTGTACCCCAGATTTTCAGCACATCTCATTTGAAAGCTATTTTTGTAAGAAAGGGAGAGGGAAAGTCACAACGATCAATTCAAAAGCCGTGAAAACCTTGCAGTAAGACTCGGGTAGCCAATATAATGGAGGAATGGTTGCAGCGTTCGGAGTCGATCATCCGGCGTGACGGAAGAATTAATCGTTACAGTTCGCCGCCGATCTGACACCGCCGTGCCTCACCGAGGACGGTTCCCTGTGGGGAGGCCTTATCTACCGGCAACACGAGGCAGGCAGGGCGTCATAGATTCGTCTGCGGCGTGGGCTGGAACACGAATTATGGGAGGGGGGCTTAGTAACGACGCGGTAACATTCGTTGCAGGTGGTCGTCGAACGATTTTGATGCTGTAGAATTTTCTAGCCGGCTGTGACGGAAACAAACACCGACAAGGATAAAAGACAGCTTTTTCCGTCATAAGTCAGCTGTATTTTGTAGGACACCTTCACGACTGTCCCAAGAATCGTACAGCGATCGCACGACGGATATGACAAGGCCCCTCCACACATATTTCGAATAAGCAGGAGTCAATGAGAACCAGACGGAATGAAGATTGGCAAAATCGCATCTAGTCCTAAAATTCGAGGTATATTCAACATATTCAGGCCCATTGGTTCTCCCTTGAATGCGAAGGAATATTCAGAAATTCGAATGCAGTCATAATGTTGTTAGAACACTCTTTGAATGCTGTATGATATTTCTCCACTATGAATTCACCTCGTAAGTTTTGAGCATGCTCAAAACCCTCGGGCCAGCCATAAGAATGGGCACACATATTTGGAATGTATTGATAATTTCTAGAATGCACTTCAAATATCCAACAAATTTTCATTCAGACGGCATTCCGGTTCATTCCGCCTCTCGAGAGAATCCTTTATCTGGCAGCTAAATAGAAAGAGGCCAGACCCTCTGGGCCGTCCAACGCTTAGCTGACAGATTTAAAAGAGATGTAACGTTAAAGTTAGACCGTAAGGACTTTGTTTCACAACATTTCAACTACCAAAGAAAAAAGAAACCTTGACAAGAGTGTCAAACGCCATAAAACCGGGAGGGATAGGTTGTGAATATACGGGAAAGTGTTTGGGTGGAATAGTACTAACAATATAAATACATTAGGTGTTGTTATCTTTTAGAACGACTTTGTACTGCATAGTGCAACCACGATTCTTGTAGAGATGGGAAAATGAAAGACATCAGAAACCTACCGTCTGCATCTAGGTCATGCAGTAGCTCGTTAAGATCCTCTTCTGAGGAAAACTGACCCAGGTCGTGCAAAACCGTCCCAAGCTCCTCTACGGTGATGGTTCCGTCGCCATCTTTGTCAAACAACTTGAAAGCCTCTCGATACTCTGCAAACACAAATAGGAGCTCAGTACAGATCAACAGTTTGTGCTGAATAACTGTTTTTCCCAGTTGACTGTTGGCTACATGTTGACTACATATTGACTACACATTGACAACATGTTGACTACATCTACCTAAAGGTACGGAAATATTGTTTTTGGAGGCCGAACTGTGGGTTTATATGTATAGCAGCTCGATGATGGGGGAACTTTGACAGGAGATCAGTTAGACATATAAAAATAGTGTAAAATTGGACGTCACGAAAACAGGAGAAATACTTTCCGGAAGTCTGAAGTCTCCGATTTCCTGTGTGTGCGTGCGTTTGTGTGTGTGTGTGTGTGTTTCATTTCGTACACGTTTTCTTGTTCCTATCGACATGATAAGGACACTACAACTTATGGACACATTGATTATCACATCAAGGCGCGGTCATATTGGTCGTAGGAGTTTACCGTACGATTTTTAGCGAGGCTGTAATCACCGAAACAACTGCCACGACGAGGAACCTTACTATATATGGCACATCCCAAGAATGACCTAAAGTTGCCGTCTATCATAAGGCGAGTGTAGCCGTGCCTTCAGGGTTGGTCACAGGCGTCGCATGATCGCAAACAGAGGAGAGCATCGTTCATGTGTCCTGTAAAATCAGCCGTTTTGTCACTTCAAAGGCTGCCTAAGGTCACAGCCTGGTTGGAAATAACACGGCATCAGAATTGTACGCCAAATGTGACCAACAACATTTACTACTAAATTACCCAACACCAGACATCAGCTGCCCCGTACTCAACACGGTGACCTCCCTGGAACAGAGCATTGGAAGCCCGGCTTGATTAGGTGAAGACATACATGCAATCACGCTTAACGACATTGTCATCAAATATTTTAAGTAGAATTAAGTGGATTTTGTATTAGATGAGGAACTGTTTTTGACATAAATAAATTAGTGTAGCTCTTTGTGCTAGCAGGGAGATGTATTACCCATCGTGAAAAGAGGATGGAGTCTTAATCCGGGAAATGAGTTTGTCTCCATTTCCATACATAGACCAGAATGTGTGATTTACCTAATTCCAAGGCCATATAGTTAAACATATACTCAGCCTCACATCATATTTGAATTCATTATATTCTGATATTTTCATCACATTTAAAACTGAAAACTGTTATTATTACTACACCTGTAAGTCAAGACCAGATGATTGTTCATATATCATATTATCTATCTCTTGATGGTTCACTATTTTTTCCTTAATATATCAACAGAATGGAAAACACAACGAGTCTCAATGTTAAAAGTTTACGTACACTGACAAATTGCGGAAACGGAGGAATATACACAAATCAACTATTAGTATCAACGATTCACATTGTTGAACTTACTTCAAATCAACAGTCAACTATACACGTATATCAATTTGCGACTATACAGCATATGGCTAGAAGTATATCTTAGCTCACCCACGGTAGAATGACATATTGTTGAAACGTACATAAAGTGTAAGTGAGGAACGACCGGATAGTTAATGGAAACCTGTTTATTCCCCCTGCTAAGCAAGCTGTCTCCTTAGTAATATGGAGAGGCTGCTAATTCATTACATCTCGGCTGCCATGTTCTGAGTGCTTCCGTTTGTGTGAGCTTTTGATTTCCACCATGCCCTGGCGTCGCCTTGACGCACCCGCCTCTGATCAGACTGATGAGGCCTCCACAGCGGCATAATTTATTCGCTTGAAGTTAGTGCCGGGAAAATTGTGGAGAGTACCGAAAGAAGGCATCTTAGCTGTTTGATTCTGTGTACGGTATAAGACTCGGGGTTTAATACACTAAACTCAAATAGAGAAGAGTATTATAGAGATGGATACATTCCTTAGACACCGAATAACTATACCCGGAGAAGTCCAATGCCTTTGGCACACTGACATGTATTTTTTCTTGTCTATGTCTTGGATAACAGAGAGTAATGGTTCTGCTCCCCCTGTGTGATTGCCATAATCTACACTAAGTCTCGATGGAAGGATGTGGCTGTCAGAAACGATAGAACGTCCCACAACGAATGCGACTCTGTGGCAAAATAAATGACTTGGTTTTCCATAAAGCTTTATCAAACGTGAAGAGTGTCATACGCACATAACGAGGCATTCATTCCTCCGATATCTAAGAAAGCTAAATGGGAATGAAATATCCATCCAATGGCATGTTGTTATCTTCATTGACTTTGTCTTGAGGCAAAGCTTTGCGTCTTTGGTGCTGATTTTATACGTTCTTGGAGCAGACGTTTATTTTACATTCAGCATTTCCGACACATTTTTCTGTTGCCTACTCAGGAAAAGCTTTCGAACCTTAATAGAAAAAGGAAAGGAAAGGCCATATACATATACATAAGGACAAATACATTAATGCTCACCACAGCCTATCTACTGGTAGTGATAATGTTCTACTTTTGCTAGCACATTTGGAAAGTACGGTGCAAGTCTCCAGAAAGCGTGGCGAGAGACATCAATGAAATGACCTCCAGACCTTTAAGAATCGTGCCACCTTCACCTTCTCAAGAACCAAGAAACTTTGCAACTATGATGTAACACAGAAGTGCTATGCCTTTTAGCCTATATAGCTTTTAGCCTATATTAGTGGCTGATTCTATGGCTGTTGTTCACAACATTGTTCAAATGATGAACGCTTTTGTTAAGGGAACCTACATACTCACAATATTTGGTGGGACGTAATTATCATCATGCGGAATTTTACGGACTATGATTAAAAATAACCAGCCACATACCTCTATTTTTTACGAGAATGGATTTGCTGGGATTTGACACGGCCATGCTATGCCCTCTGCAAGACCGTATGGTGAATGAAACCAATGAGATAGATACCCACATAGAACTACCAACTATAACACACCGGACTGCAATATGATAATTATCACATTCTATAATACTGAATGGTGAAGAAAGACACGTAAAGTGGCCGCAGTGTACTTTGGCCAGGTCACATGACTTAGAAACGCTACAAGTGTGGTGGTCTTTAACGTGCAGAGGTTGAAGCGGGTCCCAAGGCTTGAAGTCTTTCAAGCCTTGGGACATTTACATTAAGTAGTGTTGAAGAAAGTCTGCCTGCTCAATATTGTGATCAGTGTACACATGTTGTACTTCTAACCCTAACCACAGATATCTTGTGGTGCCTATATTGAGATGCGTGTTCGTACCAGCGATCCATTTCCTGTGATAGGAGGTGTTTGTCTTCCAAATCTATAGCCACGTACGATATATGTTATCTAATTCTGTCAGCTTCAAGTTAAGCAGCAACTTTAAACCTTCCTCGGCGAAACAGTTGCATGCTGTTTTTTAAGTGTTGGAAAGATCACATAATGCGTGGATTCTTATCTTATAGATTCATATCTATCTTATCACTCAATGCATTCAAAAACCGTAATTTATTGCCCTATGAACATAAGAGTACAGAAAGGACAGAGCAATGCCAGGTTTTCCTCGCCAGACGCCTTATGTGAAAACAGCAGGGATTTCAGCACCATGTAAAGTGACAGTCCAAAGACGAGGGACCCGCTGTATTGACAACATTTCAGTTTAACATGCGAACCCCTTGTTCGTCTACAGTAGAGAAATGAATGCAGTGTTCAAATAGATTCGTAAAGACTTCGGATGAAGTTGACTTGTAGTAGAAATCTGACATACCTTGTACTTGAGATTCGGACAACCCGGCAAAAAAGCTGTCGCTGTGGGTGGGAGTAGCTGAGTGGGAGGCATAGGATCCGGTCTCGTCATCCTGCGTACAGTAACAACACCACATGCTAGATGGGTGATCAGACACCGACGTGCACTCTTTAAACAGACATCTCTGGCACCGTACCACGCCGAACACCCACCGAGCATCTGCCGTTAGAACTCCCGGGTAACTCTCTAAATCCGAATCGATCCATGTCCCCTTTCTACAGACGGAGATAGAAAAGATGTGTCACGACTTGTGTCCTCTTTTCACATTTCCGCAGACACTATTCATCAAGACAAAGGACGTTGTCAACTTGGATCAGGGGCTGACGGGTTTACTCACGTATCGGTACAGCATGGGAAGGAAGTACGGGAGTTGGACCAGGACTGCGCTGATGAAATGTTTCCAGGGAATTTCACGGCAACCACGTGTATCATTATGAGTCATGCGCACTGCTCTCAAGCGGTCTATTTAACGGGCATATGGGGAAGACGGGGATAACTTTTTTTTAACTTCCGGGTGCGGAACTATTTCTGGTTGAGCTCTTGATTTGTGTATTTATTTGTCCGGACAGAATAGGTGGAAAGCACACGGGTGACAAAATTGACAGGCAGAATGACTGAGGTCAATTTGTAAGACACAGGAAACGGAGTGTATGAGAGATTCTTTAAATCTGACCGGGAGCAGGATTTAGTGATCAACACGGAGGAATTCAGGAAGCCGAAGATTGCAAACTGCAAAGTTTAAAAAAAGGTGTTGGTTTATAACCCGGACGAGAGAAAAAGAGAAATGAGAGATAGAGAGACAGACAGACAGAAAGAGAAAGAAGAGAGAGAAGGATCAAGCTGCTTTGAGAAACAAACCATAAAATTGATACTACTAGTAGTCCGTTTTGCCAATCCAATAAGTAGATTAATAGGACTGGATATGCAAAAAAATCCCCAAATCCGCCCGACTCCGAAGTTCACTCATAATTCAATAATGGATTATTCTCGCACGGTGCGCGAAGACGCCTGGGATACATTGCACGACCAGGGAATAAGCACGTGATTTGTATAAGTTTTAATTAAGATAGAGCCGTGGGAGAGTTCTTCATCCATCACGGTCTAAAACTTGTCACGGAATGGCCTCTCCTTGACGCGCGAAAGTGCCAAGTTCTCAATCCCTTTTCCTTGGAGGGCTTAAAGCGTGCATTAAGTACGCCGACGTGCCCTGCGCAAGATTGCAATAGAAGCTGAAGTTCATGGTAAACAGTGCTGCAAATCTATTTCATATAGTCCAAGTCATGCTTTATTATATGAAAATCTGGCAAGATATTCTTGTGCTTAAGGTGTTTATACGTAGACTCTAAAAGTTATGGATTCGAATCTCTAGCAGGCTCCGATGTTTTTCTCCTTGGACAGGCATTTAACGGCTATTTCTGACAGGAAAATAAATGCGTCCGAAGGGCTGTGAGTTCTAGAACACACAAACACGACCCGAACCAGAACCTTCCTCCGGAGTGATATACTCTTTCCCGGGGGCCAAAAGTGTAGAGGTTCTTCCCGGTATGAGCACCTCAAACCTCACAGTCCTTTTGTATTTGCCATGCTTTCAACATGTTTAAACGGTATGCCTAAATTCTGTGGATCTTCAATGAGGAGTTAATGTGTTAACAATGCCTTCTGCTACCCAATCAAACAAGCAAGCAAGCAATTTTAACGGTTAATGCATTAATTCCATGGCCATGTGCACATTTGTTTACTTATCCATTCATTTTATATATATATATATATATATATATGGGATATATTTGGAACAGATGAATTCCCTCGTGCTCTGTCTTTGAGATTCTGAATAGATACAGGTACAATGTGAAGAACACGTCGAAAGTGCAAAGTCGATTGCGTTAATTACGTGCAGACGTGTTCCTTATCTAGATTGCCTATTGGTCTCAGACATCCAGAGGATTAGTCTCATATATTTTCAAATATGCCCTTTTGAACCGTCATCCCATTACCTGTCGTTAATAGACGTAATAAAGAAAACAGTCACTGTTGTCACAAGATCCTGTCGGCAAAATGTAGTTACCGTTCGTTTATGATATTGGTTTTCACATAAAAAGAAGATGATTGTATTCCCGATGGGGATTGGACAGATTTTACTCGTAATGCCATAGGCAGAAGTGCACTTATTTGATAGCCAACAGGATGCTCGGAGGACAGTGTGAACAATTATTATGCTCATTGTTCTTTATGTACCCCTGTGGAATTGGCAAAGATAAGTTTACCAAGATAAGAAAAGACCAGGGAGTCGGGGACTCACAGATTTGGGTTCCTATCGATTGATGTTTCTGTATGATACACACCATACACTTCGTTTTTATCGTAGATTATCGCACACCATACACACACACACACACACACACACACACACACACACACACACACACACACACACATACACACACCACACACACACACACACACACACAATACATACACACACACTATGTGGTGTTTGAGTTTCTCAGCTGAAATCCTCTTGAGAAGAACAAGTTATCATTTACTGTAACTTCTGTCAGCTCCATCCCTTTACTTGCATCCATCGCACCAAGTAATACTATTAAAGTATAGATGACATACGATGTGTGTGTTTCTCTAAAAGAAGGAATTCCGTTGTAAGATCGGTATCTCTTGGTAAATCATTTATCGTTTCTGCGCTCGGAAATTGAATCCGTCAATCTTGTTCAGAGTGTTGAAGCCTGGTATAGCCGATCTCCTATGGAGTTCTTTCTTGACGTTTAAGTAGTTTTCTTGAATTTTACGGTTCTAGTAATAACTACCAAAACTCCCAGTGGTAGACATGGAAAAAAGCTAACCCTGCCGTGCTTCTCTAAGTTCTTCATATTGACTCATCCGACAACGTGGCAAATTTGTCTCGTTGTATCTTGCAGACCAGGTCACCCCAAGGTGGAAATAGAAATAGCAAGACGGTCTCTTTAGAACCCAGTGGGAATTAGATATCAGATATTATGTCCGATTTGCAAGGAGGATATTAAAGACGAATTCCACTTTATGATGTCATGTCCAACATATGAAGAAAACAGACAAAAGTTGATGCAATCCATAGCTTCCAAAACTAATGTTACGCTACCCCACTCAGATATAATTATCAGTGTACGTTAAAAAATTCAGATCATTCATATCTGAATCACTACAAAAGCGACACCATATTGTAAATAACTGATATATCTCCTGAATTACAAAATGTAATAATACTCTTCTTAACAAAACACAATTGATTAGCTTTCGTATCATTATGGACTAGCTCGAGTATTATATTTTAGTGTTAGTTTGTGTATGTACCCTTGTTGTTTCTTTGCCATACATTGTACCAGTTACAGTTGTTGAGCAATAAAGTTGATTTGATTTGTTATCTATATAGAGAGGGAAATGGTGGGCAACAGCTGTGACTAGAACTGTGTTCATGCTATTCAATTCAAAAGTATTTCCCGGATTTAATGTTTCCAGTGTGTCTTAGAGGATTCAAATGCAATGTAAGAACCCTTCTGTATGTAAACCACACAGGTCCGGGAGCGTTAATAGACTGCACCTTGTGGACAGTGACTAGATTCATGCAACTACCCATCTTTTACATCGAAAAGAGTCTTAAATCAATATATTACTTTGGCAATGAAAGACGGACTCACATCTAGTATATTTGTGTCAGAAAAAGAAAGAAAAAACACCACGTATAATTCTCAAGCGAGCAAATTGTTTTGTTTAGTTTTCTCTTCGAATTCACTAATTACAAAAAACTAATTATATTTTAAGGTATTTGTGTAATCAGCACTTCCAAGTCATTTTTGTTAAAATGGCAATAAATTAAGTTAGGAGAAGGGTGTTACGAGTATCTGCCAATACATAATCAGCAGATGTTTGCAGAATTTTACTTTTTCCACGCGTGTTTCATAGAGCGATATCAGTGTTCATATACCCCCATGCAGACTGTACCACTACATTCCCTACACGTGTTTCACTTCACTTCAGCATAAATATTTTGGCATAAATGCCGGAAAATAAACACGCTAGACGACTAATTGTTGAAACGATATCAAAGAACACATGACAAGATTATTTATTTCATCTCTGAACGCATTATTTTTGAAAATTTAAGTTTTGTCCTCCCTTGTTAGTCAGGAATCTGGCATTACGCCACAGACACATGTCATGTACCGTGACTACAACGTTGCTCCAGAGTTCTCGGAGGAATATTCTCACGCCAGCGGAGCAATCCCCGAATAGGTGCAGGAGTAAATTGACCCTGGTGTGTGGTACGGGTCGATCAGAGCAGACTTGGCTGCTAACCTAGGTCACAGATGATTCTGTAATGTGCAGCCGCACACCATTATGGAAGGCAGCCGCCTGGTGTGTCCACAAACTGAAAGTACACGCACATCGAAAGTAAGTCCTTAGACTTTTGGTCGAAATGAGTGATGTTTAGCATCAAGGATTTTTTTGCAGAATGTACCTTCTGCCAAACCTTCTGCCAAAAAAATTAGTTCATTGGAAAACAAGTATCTGATGCATCGAACCTGTTTCATGATCTCTGTTTGAATTCAAAAGTGTATGAGTCAAGATTGAGTGTAACAATATCATTACGTTGTAACCTCTAAGCTTTCAACTGTGGCCACTGAGGTCGTAGACTGTACTACCTGACACGTTGCAAGAAACCAACTAGTGATTCCGAGAACCCCATCAATATGATTTCAGGAACGATATAAATGTTTCCAAGAACCTGCCACTTTCATGAACCTCCGGGACGGTCAATCGAAGCCAAGATAACTGCCGTTTCATGGTGCCAAAAATGGACAAAGATGGCGAAACGTGGATTTCAATTCAATTTCACTTCTTTATCAAGATACCAAACATAACAGACAAACATGACATACAATGTTGCCTGAATGGCGTTGATATTTACAAAATATAAAATATTATATTGACAAAATGGCAAATATCATGTATTTACAAAAACCATAAAACAGTACAGTAACTGTACAACCCAGATATTTACAAGGTTCATTATCTTGTGCCAGATTC